CTCCAGATTGTTCATCCAGCCTATCTTATTTAGACAGACCTATGGAGATAATAACATGCACAAAAGCAAGACAGAGCAAAACCAAGCAACAATATACAACAAAACAACAACAACAAACCACTGACAAAGAACAAAACAAAACGCAACAAGAAAGAAGAAGCTTATAGTTAGTTCAAGGATCATTTGTTGGCCTTTAGGTGTGTTTTCCAGTCCAGTGTGTTGGGGCACCATGCCCTGGCCCCAAAGTCCACCTTTAGCATTCCCTGGAGTCAGTCTCCTTTTCTAAGGTGCTTGTCCCCCAGTGAACATAAATTTAGGTTTTAATCTTGACAGGAGCAGATTGCCAGGATGGTCCTCTACTGAGTTGCTAGAGGATTGGAACAACCAACTTTTTGTTTAGTGGTTAAGTTATTCCACCAGGACTCTTCTATTGTGTATATATAGAATGAATGTATAATAATGAAGGGGCTTCAAGAGTTTTTAAGAGGCTTCAAGAGTTTTTAAGTGAAATTTAAAAGATGATGGAATTTTCCGTGAACTTTTGATGTCTTTTCATATATTTAGCACATACAATGCATACTTGTATCTCTTGCTGTCATCAAGTCAATTCCGAGTCAGAGTACCCAATAGGACAGAGAATTGCCCTTGTGGGTTTCTGGTGCCAACTGTTTAGGGGAGCAAAGTGCTGTCTCTTACTTAGGCTTATATATATGTAATATATATATAATGCTTTTATATATTATATATATATATTATGTTTACACACACACACACACACACATTTCTGTGTAGTGGTGGAGTGGTTATGCATTGGGCTGACATCCACAATGTCAGCAGTTCAAAAGCACCAGCCGCTCCCCAGGAGAAAGACAGGGCTTTCTACTCCCATTAACATGTGGGGCACCATGAGTCGGAATTGATTTGATGGCAGTGAGTCCTTTTATTTATTTAATTAATTATATTTCGTTTCACACATACTTTCTATAGAGTTAACTTATTTTAAGAAATGGGAAAGGCAAATGACCTTGCCATAAAAACCAACCCATCCATACCCTTCAAGTCAATTTTGACTCATAGCAATTCTATGAGACTGAGTAGAACTGCCCCTTTGGGTGTCTAAGGCTGTAAAAAGAGCAGAAATCGTTCTCTTTCTCCCATGGAGCAGTAGTTGGGTTGAACCCACAACACCACTAGGACTCCTTGATCTTGCGATTCGTTTTGTTCAAAATCTAAGTGAAGTTTTGATAATGGATTTTAAACTTTTAGTTCAAAAAAGTTGGTTCCTTGTCAGTCCTTACGAATGCAGCCCTTATAGCTCTGATGAAACACACAACTTTCCTCTAGTTCTTTGGTGCTTCCTTCCCCCCACTATCATGACCTCACTTCTACCTTATAAATCGGATTAGATGAGAGCATGCACACTGTTACAGATAAGAGCCTGCAACACAGGGAATCCAGGATAGATAAACCCCCTAGGGCCAACAATGAGAGTAGACATACCAGGAGGATTAGGGGAGGGTTGGGGGATAAAGAGGGAATCGATCACAAGTATCAACCTATAACCTTCTCTCAGGGGGACAAACAATGGAAAAGTGGGTGAGAGGTGACAAGATGATGTAAGATAGGAAAATAATAATTTATAACTTATCAAGGGTTTGTGAGGGAGGGGGAAGAAATGGGGAGCTGATATCAGGGGCTCAAGTGGGAAGAGAATGTGTTGAGAATTATGTTGGCAACATATGTGCAAATGTGCTTGACATAATGTATGTATGTATGTATGTATGTATGTATGTATGTATGGTGGTAGAGCTGTATGAACCCCCAGTAAAATGATTTATTTTTTTAAAGTTCATGAAAAAATGCAGCCCTATGGAAGTATTTCTCTGAAAGTGATGACTCTGCAAATGACCTACAACTCAATGCTTCTAAATTTAACTGGCTTTTGAAGTTTCTCTATTTTCCCCTTTGTCTTAGCCTTGTCAGCATTTTGGTCTCTGCTCAGCTTTCTCTTTGAAAGAATCTCTAGGCAAAATATTGAGTGATGCAAGAAGTATCAAGAGGAGATTGAAAGAATACACAGAGCCACTGTACCAGAAAGAACTAGTCGACAGTCTACCATTTCATGCAGTAGCATATAAGCAGGAATCAATGGTGCTGAAAGAAGAAGTTTAAGCTGCACCAAATTCTTTAGCCCAGAACAAGGCTACAGGAATTGACGAACTATTCATTGAAATGTTTTCAGAAAGCTGAAGAAGCCCTGGAAGCACTCACTCGTCTATGCCAGGAAATTTGGAAGAAAGCTACCTGGCCAATTGATGGGAAGAGATCCATATTGTTATTCATTCTAAAGAAAGGTGACCCAACAGAATGCTCTCCTTCTATAACAATAACATCGGTATCACATGCAAGTAAAATTTTGTTGAATATCATCCAACATCGGTTGTTGCAGTTCATTGACATGGAGCTGCCAGGGGTTCACGCTGGATTCAGAAGGGGACATGGAATGAGGATTATCACTGCTAATGTCAGCTGGATCTTGGCTCAAAGCAGAGAATACCAGAAAGATATTTACTTGTGTTTCATTAATGATACAAAGGCACTAACTTGTGTGGACCATTATAAACTGTGGGTAGCATCGAGAAGATGGGAATTCCTGAACACTTCATTGTGCTCATGTGGAACTTGTACA